TACATCCATAGTGACGGAACAACGTAGAAAATCTTTTTTTATTTTTTTGAAAAAGCTGTAGATATTTCTTAGAAAGATTCACTTGAAGTCGTTTTTGATTGCAATTTAAGAAATGTGGCACCCATCATGCACAAAGCTTTCTGAGGCCTAGCACATCTTTCAAAATATGAAGTACTCAGTTAAGATGTTCATGGTCTCAGAAATCTCACTCAAGGTTAATGTTTTGTCATTCATAACCATATCATGAATGGTATCAATCATTTCTTCACACTTTTAGGATGTTCTGAACGAGGATCATCTTCTAGGCTCGTGCGACCACATTTAAATTCTAATGCCCACTTGTTGACCATTGTTTTAGATGGAGCAGCATCCTCTAACACATTCACCATCTCACTATAAGTTTCCATCGCCTTTAAACTCTTTTTCACTAAAATTTTTATTATCGCACAATGTTAAATTTTTTCTATGATTAAATTATGTTGACACGTCTAAAATCAAAGTGTTATAAAAACACACTGACAAAAAACACACTGACGTCATAAAAACACACTGACAAAACATAATCAATAGAATCAGTAGAATCATGTGGGCTTGAATTCAAAATTGGAGCCCTATCAACAAATTAAAGTCTTCTAACCTAGTAAATATATATTTATAATAATTTATAAAATATATATTGATAATTTACATAAAATAACTGAGTTTTTTTTGGGTTTTCACTAGCCACTGCAAACCTAAAATTGCAGCAGAAGATAGGAGATATCACTTTCAAGATCAGCTGCCTATTCTAAGACCTGCCTATTCGATCATGCAGAGTGTATAGTTGTGTCATTAGCCACTTTATATGTTATGATTAGGAAGATTATTATTATAGTTGAGGAGTAACACAGGATCAAGTATGTAATCTTATGAACCCCTTTAGTTACTGAAAATGAAGAGTGTTGTTTAATAAGTACTAGTTTTTTTACATAAACAACAAGATCTATTCTCTTGTGTATAGGGTCTGTCCATAAATGGTGTCAGTGATTTTTCTCAATTTTTCCCCTCCTCTTTTGTCAAACTCTGTCAATTTTTTGCCAAACCTTTTTATATATGATGTCAGTTTTTGTATTTCATTTAACCATTCAGTAGTTTTGAATTCTTCTGCAGGGCAACAACTGCCATAAATTCTGTCTGACACTTGGAAGCAACGCCAATTGGTCTGACCCTTTTGATAGGAGGGAGTGTTAAAGCAGAAGAATAGATAAAAATGTGCTTTTTCAGCATAGCTTGAGAGGCAAAGTCGATGATGCACTTTTTACAGATTCTATATGCAAGTCAGAATTAATGGACAAAAAACAGTCACAGGAGAATTGGAAATCCTTTGGCAGGTCGAAGAAAAATACTTTCAATGTTTGATGCAATGAGCATAAACAAGGATGGTGGAAACAACTCTTTAGATCTGAAACATCTACTGTTTTTTTCTCTCATTTGGCTGACCGGGATTGGTAGCAGAAGAAATCGTGCTCTAATAGGAGTAAAGTAAGAACTTCTTATAGTCCGACAACAAGAACAATTTTCGAATTTCATAATTTGAGTAAAATATTGATTTGTACGAAAATGATGGGCAATTCAATGTTGATCATGTAATAAAAGGCTCCTTGACTCTAGCTCTTATCAATATGCTCTGGATCAATATACTCTGCAACGATTGGATAACCATCAATTTTTAGGTCAGATCAAATATCTGCTAAAGCCTGTCTGGAAAAAGTTCTTTTTTCTAAATCTTCATCCATTGTCCTGCCTGATTTTAAATAATATCTTGGTTATTATAGGTTAAAAATTATTCTTTATATTATCAAGGACGTATTAATAGATGGGCGTTTAACGTATTGTTTAAAAGCCAAGATATCCGCGCTATTCATTGTTACAAATAACAATAGCAAAAGAATAGAAAACTATTTTTAACTTGAGAATATTTTTACTCAAAATAACGATAGTCTCGTCTAGCCTTAGAAATATTTAAACATTCCATTACACCTAAAAAATCTAAAAAGTTTTTAAATAAATAAAACCTTTTCATTATATGATCTATAAACTCAAGCGAAATCTTTATATAGAAAAAAAAAGTTAATCACAGAAAAATATTAAAACAAAATTGTAATTGAGACAAAATTTCTGACAAAAATGAGAAATTTAAATACTTAAAATAATAGTGAAAACTAAGTGTAAGGAATAGAGACCACAAGTAATCTATAGTTCGATCTATATATGATCTACAGTTTTACCTATAACATCTAGAAAATTCGTTTCACTTTGCAGTATTCATTCTTGCAAACCAAATATCACTTTTTTACAAAAATATGATTTTTGACGTCTAAGTTTTATTAATAATAAGTTCTTATTAAAAAGCGTTCGCGTATCAAATTTGACATTTCAAAACAGATGAGCTATTTCTGATTAATTAAAATGCATTAATTTTTAAAAATAGTTAGAGTTTTGTAGGTAATTGCACTTTTTAAAAAAAGTAGTTAAAAAAGTGAAATTATCGGGAAAACGTCAGTTTACTTTTATAAATTATTCAGAAAAATGACGCTAAAAATTATAGCTCGCATAGGTTTTTGTTTACTTTGCGGCGCCTCAGATCTATAACAATGGGTTAAACGTCCATCTATTAATACGTCCTTGATATTATGAATTAACTTTTGTTAATGAATATTTGTAATTACCTTGAGAATCAAGATGAGTTCCGTAATGTTTGTGTGGAAGAATCACACCAGATAATTGGTTGTTCAGCTCAGTTGAATGTACTGCGTCTAGAATGTTCTTCATGATGAAAAGAGCATCAAGGTTGTTCTTCAAGAAATGGCGAATTCCGATTTCAATTACTTTCTGGTATCTGGGATTTTCGTTGGGTTCCCCATCGATGTTAATCACAAAAATAGGCTTAACCATATAGTCACTGAAAGTTTAATCCATGAACAAAAGCAGTTGAGGATGTGTGTTTTCCTGATCAAACAGCAATATAGGTAGGTCTAGAATAGTCACCATCTGTTTTTCCGAGACCATCTCTTTTGATACCAATTCTAGCGTATGCAGATGGTAGGAGCTTATGTTTAGCAGTCAAAACCCAATCTTGGTCTGGAAGAGTTACCAGTTACTCCAAATGCATCTACCGCGGCACTTGTTTTTTGGTTGCTTTGATTCCAATCAGCACTCTGGCCTTGTTGTCTTGGCTAATAAATCACACCTCATCTGGTTCCAAAATAGAACAAACTTCTTCAACATATTTTATAGTCGAACTGCAGAGAGTCCATCAACATGATTTAAGTGAGATTCATTCTGAGCTCTAATTAATCTAAAAGGGACTGTTTTGATGTTTCTTTAGCTTTCTGATGTTCAATAATTTCTTGGAAGTAGACAAGTATAGAGGACGCTCTTGCTGATTGCGAATCCAGTTTTGATCATCTCAGATGTCAATTTGTTGAGGATTTTAATGCTCTAAATAGTTAAGGGATATATTTGGATATAATGAACTTAACAGAAAATGGGATTTATTTCATAAATTATGTTACCCGAAGCAATATCTTCAAAAGAAGAGGTTGATTTACTTCTAATGACATTCGAACAGGTTTCTTTCTGATTTTCAGTTTCTCTTCGACTTCAGGATGTTCTAAGCAGATTTACTCCATTCTAGGTTTTTTCAGTTCTCTAGTTTTCTTCTGTTGATCAATCATACTTATTCTTGGCCAGCTCGTTAGATGAGCTAGTTCACTCTTTTTCTTTTTAAACCATCCTCTTCAGTTTCAGCAATGAATCCACTTCTTTTTCTAGTCTTCAGTCCAGCAACTTTAGAATCCAAAGCTGCAATCTCAGAATTGATATGATTTTGAGCCACTTGAGCGTAATTAATTGAAAATAACAAGTATTATATAACAACATTTTTCATGTTTTTTCATAGTACTTTGTATAAAATGTAAACAACATATTTATATTTTATACAAAGATGTAAATCTTCGTTTTAAATTCTTTTAATTTTTTTTTTTTTTTATTTAATTCTAAAAGAAAAATTAAAATTCAAAGCATAAGCGAGGCACGTTTTTCTTAACTTCTTCATAACTTCACTTAAAACATTGAAAATTATAAGTAAACAATTATACAAAACAGGCGCTGTATTTAATTTTACGCTTTTTGTGATATTAAATACTAATATGTAATAAATTTTTTCAAGGTAGCCTTAAGGTAGAAAAAAGAAGTGTGATGATAGAGTGAATCTGGTGTACAAGATTTTTACGTAAGGTCAAGTAAAAAATCTATTCCAGCTGATTTTTTAAATTAGTTGGAATAGAGTTTTTACTTGACCGAAGCCATATTAAATCCTGTTAAAATTATTTTCTTTTTTCTTTAAGTTTTTTTCCTTTCTTTCCTTTTTCTTTTTTTTCCTTTTTTTTTTTTAAAGTTTTTTTCCTTTCTTTCCTTGCTTTCCTTTTTTTACTGTACCTAATAAGTACATTCGCTTCATTATTTATTTGAAAAAACAAAGAGAAAAAAACAAAAAAAAAAACAGTAATATTTTATACATATTATTGATTTTATAGATTATTTTTTTGTTCATAGTGAATTTAAAGTCAGGTCCTGAAGCATCGGTGGTACATGCAAAAGGTTCTGTGTTTTTTCCCCGTGCAACTCCCCCTTCCTTGCAAAGACACTGCTCGGACCTTTTTGTTTTTATCTGAATTTGAAAAAACATTTTGATAAAAATGTGAGCAAAAACTTTTGTTTTTGATTTTTTAAAACATAGATTTTTTAAAACATAGACACCAAGTTGCGTTTTATTTTTCGAATCTATGTTTTAAAAAATTAATTAAAATATTTTTTTGAAAAATAAAAATGTGGTGCGTTATTAGCGAGCCTAGATGTATGCTTTTCTAGCATTGTTTAATTATTCAATTAATCCTTAATGTTGTCTTTTTGTAGTAGTATTATAGTTCTGCATTATAGAAAAATATTTTTCTGTTTAGGAATCTATGGAGCATATTAGTAAGGTTCTATCTGCTCGCGTAAAGCAAGTGAGTGATTTTTTTCCCGTGAGTGTGGTAACGGTTGGCTAATGTGTTTTTTATTTATTTTATTTTTTTTAGTTAAGAACAATGTGTGAAAACTTGCAAAGTGAATTAGATGCACGCGCGACAGTTCAAGTATCTCCTGCAAATGAAACTCGCAATTCAGAAACTTGGTCTGGCACAATTTCTGTGACATCCTGCTAAGTAAAAAACAACACGTGACATTTTTCTAACAAAAGTATCTTGTTGATAAGTTAATATTTTTAATGAAAAAGTATCTTGTTTATAAGTTAATATTTTTAATGTAACATGAAGATTTGCAGACCTGCGAAGAACATTTTTTTAAAGTAAGTTATGAATAAATAAAAAAATTTCTAACCTAAAATAGGTTTATCAACAAATTCTATAAAACACTCCCGTATTTTAGTAAGTAAACAAGGCGCCTCATCAAGCTCAAAAATTGTAACAGTATTCTTTTTTTTTTTAAGAAAACTTTTTGGTATGTAAAGTGTCTGTTGAGGACCTATCGACCAGTATCTACCAATATTATAGTTGTTTATATAAATTTGACCTTTTTTCCATCCATTCATTTTAATGTATGTATCGTGTATTTTTTCTATAAAAAACGATGAGAAAAAAAACAATCCTGTTGAGTTTTGTTTTGTTGTTGATTTATTCATTTTTTGAAGATTGTTAACCACTGAATCGTTAATGCGGAACATAAGCCATTCGTTAATGATCTTTTGATTAATTCGTACTTCACTTAAGATTCCCTTCACATCAGGAAGATATTTAACTCCTTTAGTTGCGTAAGCTAGTCTTCCTTGATTTTCAACTAGAATTTCCAATGTTTTTCCTTTGGTAATATTTAAAGCCACTTGTCCTCGACTTGCGCAACCTTGCTTTACACCGTCTACATATACAGTTGAACGGTCGTTGACTTCTTCAATTTCTAAATAATTATTTACATTTACATCGGGTAATTCCGTTTGATACAACATAAACCCATAGCCTAAGTTTGCTTCTTCAAACCTTAAAGGATTTTTAGAATGTTCTGGACGACTGATTGAGCAAAAAAGATTTATAGCTTGATTCAAATTTGTAAAACTTTTCATAAAGACTTTGCCATACGCCATTTTTACAGAGGGTATGGGTACTGGTGGCAAAGGAAAGTCGGTGTATTTTTGAATAACGTTTCTTATGGAAAAAAATTTCGCTTGTAAATCTCCAGCTTCAGTTATCGGTGCGTCGTAATCATAACTTGTTGGTGAAATTAAAAACTGGCCATCGCTCATATCAGCACCATTCATATAGCCAAAGTTTGTTCCTCCTTGGAACATGTATAAATTTACCGAAGCGTTTAATTTTAAGATTTCATCAAGATGTAAAGCTATATTTCTTGCATTTCTTTTTTGATGGTTTTTGCCCCAGTAATCTAGCCATCCAGTATAAAATTCAGAGTTTACTAAAGGTCCTTTTTTTTGATAGTTTCTCAATAACTTAAAAGCTTCCACTGCTGAGATCTCTGTTCCAAAGTCAATTGTAGTAAAAAGAGAAGGAATAGTACCACATTTTAAATAATCGTCAGTATACCCATCAGTAGTAAAAAGTACAACGTCGTTTCCAAGATGTAGTTGAAATAAGTTTTTCAATTCTTTCATATATTCGTGATCGCAAGCGTAGTAGTTACCGTACTCGTTTTCAACTTGTACAGCAATAATCGGTCCGCCATTTTTGTATAAATATTGATTTATCATAGGTAGTAAAATACTAAACCAGTTTGAAACGTACTTCATGTAACTTTTGTCTCCTGATGTTCTCATTGTCATATTGCTTTTCGCCATCCACCAAGGAAAACCTCCGAACTCCCATTCAGCGTCAATATAAGGACCTGGACGCAGTATCACTAAAAGATCGTTTTGCTGGGCAAGATTTATAAAGTTGATGATATCTTTATCGTCATTAAAGTCATAATGTCCTTCATTTATCTCGTGAATATTCCATGCAACATAAGATTGAATTGTATTTAACCCCATCGATTTGGCTTTTTTCATGCTATCGTTCCAATATAGCTTCGGTATTCGAAAGTAATGCATACTTCCAGATATATATCGGAATGGGCTTCCGTCTTTCAAAAAACAATTATTTTCAAAATCTATTGAAAAGGACCGTTTTAGACGAGATTCACTAGTTTCGTAGATTACAAAAATAGATATTAAAACAAATATAACCTTCATTTCTTATTATCTCATAGTTATTAAAAATTGGTTGGTTTAGAAAAATAACATTGTCGTTAAATTTTATCGAGTATATAAATGCTTATATTTGTTGTTTAAAAAAAAAATCCAACCAAAATTTAAAGTATTAACAAAAGTTCATATAAAAATATATGTCATTTGCAGACTTCCTTAAGCAAACAGTAATTTTGTTTATTAATCATAAATCATTTATATTAATCGTAATGTTTGCGCATCATAAAGTTTGCGCTCAGTAGATTTTCATTGTTTATTTTTAAATGTCTGAACTTTTGGTAAAATATTAGGAACTACTTTATTTATTTAATATATTAACATAAGATTCTTGAAACACATTATGTAATTTTTACTTTGAAGCAATTTTTATTTGAAAATTTTTTCGGTTCTAATGTCTTGAACAAATAATATTATAAGTCAAGTTTGCCGCAAAGTGAAACTTAAATGAATCATATTTATCGTCAACTAAAAGTTTTTTTATATTCTAATTTTGAACAATATTTTTATTTGAACTTTTTGCATATATACTAGTAAAATTTTGTTTGTTTCAATTATTTTTTGCAATTTCAGATTGAGCACTTCACTTACCTAAAGATTTGTTTGTTCGAATTATGTTTCGTAGCAAGCACATTGAATTATGTTTCGTAGCGAGTGCATTGAATTATGTTTCGTAGCAAGCACATTGAATTATGTTTCGTAGCAAGCACATTGAATTATGTTTCGTAGCAAGCACATTGAATACTTCACATTCCTAAAAGCTGACTTGATCTCCGCCTTACATCTTCAAAAATAATGCATTTTATATATCTAAAAACAATTTTAATTGAATATAAAGGTGCTACATATTTTTTTAGCTTTTTTTTTTTTAAATCCTCATATGCACAGACATATGCTGTGTAAAATATGCTCTAAACATCATATACTATTTGCCAGATGCTTTGAAAAGTTTTAAAAAGTGAATAGGGAGATAACTAAAGGCGAAATGGTTCTTCACTGTTCTTTTACCCTATTGAAAGTGTTTTGGGTGGATATAAAATGATGTGGCAGGATATACTAGTAAAATTTTGTTTGTTTCAATTATTTTTTGCAAATTCAGATTGAGCACTTCATTTACCTAAAGATTTGTTTGTTCGAATTATGTTTCTCACTTGGTTAAAGCGTCGAACAAAAAGTTTAAACTTAGACTGTTATAAGATACGAGTTCAAATCCTGCCACCGCCAACTCAGTGCTTGACTCTAGTACTTCGGTACGCAAAAATGTTAGTCAATAATGGACGCTACTCTGGATTAGTCTTAAAGACTATTTGTGGCTGTTCTTATGCTAAGCCAACAATATCTTCGGATATAAGAACATTGTATAGAAAAATATAGCATGAAAATTCAAATAAAAAAAAATAATAATAAAAATAAAGCTTAATATTTTAATGTTTAGTTTTCTAATTCAATTAAAGTTGTTAGATGATATATTTTAAATAAATAATGCAATTTTATTGACGGTTAACTAAAAACTTTATTTTTTATAAAGCAAGAGTACTACTTAAGTTTAAAAGTTTTCAAAAATGTAAAGAATATTTTAGTTAGTTGAAAGCTTTGGGTTGCGATTTTTCATTCAGCATCTAAAAGATCAAAGGTTACGTCATCACTGTACAGTTGCTGTAACAAAGGTTACGTCATCTTTGTACAGGGCCGACGACACCGGGGGCTGGTGTCGTCAGCCCTGCTTTTTTCCGAAAACTCAAGATATAGAGGATTTTTTTTGAAATTGACGATTATGCCTCTCCACTTCGAAAACCGTGTCGTCGGCCACGAGTAGCCGTATCAATATAAGGTCATAAGTAATATATATTGTTGTCATATCTGGAGCAGATCTTCCAATGATGGATCACCCCTTTCTCTTTTAGACAAAGTGCAAAAGCGCATTGTAAACATAGTTTGACCTGCTCTTGCAGGCAACCTTCAATCATTATCGCATATATCACGTCGTAATCTTTCTTGTCTCTTTTGTATCAATATTATAATGGACACTGCTCTAAAGAGCTTAAGTAATTATATATTTTTCACAAAATTATACAATTCTGACCACATTAATATATTAAAAAACAAAATATCTAAAAACATTGGAATTATGCATAAAACCAGATATATTTTAAATAATGCAGATATATTTTAAATAATCCTTAAAAGTTTTTATTTTGCATATATACATAGCTATGTTAACTACTGCAATATTGTCTGTGCTAGTACCTACCAATCAAAACTAGATTTAATATATAAAAAAAACAACAAGCGCGCCTTATATTAACAAACGCAAATAGAAATATCAATTCTAAAAATTTAATGAGAGAACTGAGAGTTCTTAATATCTACGAACAAAATATATATTGCATTCTTCAGTTCATGTTTAAACTCAAAAATGATCTGGTCCCTGAAGTCTTCCATAACTATTTTCGCCTTATTAATCACAAGTATCAAACAAAATGCTCTATCAAGAACTAATATATTCCGAAAACCTCTTTAAGACAATCTAAATTCTCAATATCCAAAATTGTGGAACTCATTTCTAACAAACAAAATAAAAACGATAAACTCATTCCAACATTTTAAATGCGTTGTAAAGCAACAGCTACTAGACCTCAACATTAATGAAATAATCTCTTATTTTTAAAATTTTTTCTAAATTTTAAAATTCCTCCTATTTCACTTTAAATCTTCACTTTTTCTTGAAATTCTACTATATTACTTACTTGGTTATTTAATGATGTTCATTGTGTAATAAAGAAAAAATATATATATATTATAAATATTTCATTATGTTTGTATTTGGTTTATATTTTGTTATATTTTGTCAACAACAAAAATGGAACAAGATGATAAGACTATTGTCTTCTACTTGCTCCAGTCATATATTTCACGGTAAAATGTTGTACAAATTTATATTAATAATGACGAATATATATATAAAAAAATATATATATATTTTTATTATTGTTGCGTTTTATATTTGTTGCTAATTATTCGAGGAATTCCATAATTCTTCTCATCATAATATTTTAATTAATCCTTTTGTTTTTTTATTTATTTTTTATCATCCTTCTGATCGTTAAACGTTGTGTTATCTCATTCATCCAAACGTTGTGTTATCTCATTCATCCAAACGTTGTGTTATCTCATTCATCCAAACGTTGTGTTATCTCATTCATCCAAACGTTGTGTTATCTCAGTCATCCATTATCACGTCAGCTCTTTCTCTTTTTCCTTTTTTGTGTTATTTGCCTTTTTAAAAGTTATTGTTTGTCTTTTGATTATTTTTTTTTTGTCACTATCTATATTATTATTTTAGTTGTTTGTTTGTTTTTTGCGTTTTTTGTTTATTTTATTGTCACTCTAATGATTAGTTTGAGTGACACCGAATCTAATTTTGCAAAATTTTAAATAATCTGTAATTTTTTCCAATTTCATGGTTAAATAAATGGATTAAAAAAAAAAAAGTAAAAGACCGAATCAAATACAATTGGTCTTGTTTAGATATGCAGCTCTAGGAGCCCGGAAAAAATTGCTTTTATTTTTTTTCTTAAGAACGTTAAAATACGACCATCGTTATTTAAACAATCAGCAATAGAATAAAACATTTGTCTTATATTTTAAAAATGTTTATTAACAATCGTTAGAAATCATTTGTTGATTAAAAACAATTGTATTAGTGACGATCGTTTTTAAGTTACGAAACGAAAGAATTGCAGTTAAAATCCAATTCATTCATTCTAAGTTTATACAAATAATTCTCTTTATACAAGTTTATAGAAATTGTTCGCTTTCTTACTTGAAGATTTTTCATTAAAACTTATGAAGATTGTTCAAAAACAGTTTTTTTCTTGAAGGAGTTACTTACACAAATTCAAAATTAAAGTGCGCTTTAACTAAGCGTCTTTATTCAAAACTTAAAATGTAAAAAAATAAAATGAGGTTTAGTATTAACACATATATATTAATAAAACTTCAGTTTTATGGCAAAACTTTGCATGAAAATTGCAAAATTTCTTTCGTTATTTTCTTGAAACTTTCTTTATAAAAAAAACATCTAAGTCAGTTTCTATTTAACAAAAAAATATAAACATACAAAATCATTAATAACATGCAAATGATGAACATGTTTGAAATCAATATTTACAGCATATTTGAATGAATATTGCTAAAATTATATTAATACTTTTTACTTTCTTGATTTAATGGAAATATTTATGAAAGCTATTCTTTTTTCTTTTACTATATTGGAATTGTACATAGTATTTTAACAATCTTATTTTATTTTTAACTTGTAAAGCTCCCATGGGGGTTCTATGAAAAGATTGCGGCAACTTTATTATGTCTAAAAATAAATTTAAACAAGAGATTTTCAATATAATACTTGAATGTGACAGAATTGCAATCGAAACCTCGCAGTTATAGTAAATAAGCATTTTATATTTACTGTATTTCTATAAATGTTTTACAAAGCATTTATAAGTGCAGTAAATAAGACTAATAAATATGATAAAACATAACATAAAAAATAATCTATCATATTTATTTAGAAAAGTCAAAAAAACTTAACAAATTTTTGTTGCTTGGGATCGATGGTTTCTTTTTCACATTAAACTCATTAAATTTATTTGATTTGAAATATTTTCAAATGATACTATGAAATAAAAGATATAAAGTTAACTATTTTAATAACACAAGTCAATAAATGTTTTTCGAAATATTTTTAAATGGTACTATGAAAAAGATATAAAGTTAACTATTTTAATAACACAAGCCAATAACTATTTTAAAAACACAAGCCAATAAATATTTTAATAACACAAGTCAATAAATATTTTAATAACACAAGTCATTAAATATTTTTTTATATTTTTAAAAAGATTTAATTTAAAACTAATATCATAAGATTCAACGTATAGTAGTGGTTCAGATATTTAAATCTCAAACAACTTCTAACAATAAATAAAATAATTATATTCAAAAAAAAAAAATAATAATTTACTTCCACCAAAGTTAAGAGATAACAAAAAACAAAGAAGTTATAGAGAAAGAAAGTTATAGAGAAAGAAAGTTACAGAGAAAGAAAGTTAAAGAGAAAGAAAGTTATAGAGAAAGAAAGTTACAAAGCCGACGACATGGGTTTTGTGATATCATCAATTTGTGAAAATAGTCCTCTATATCAATATTTTTCTTAAAAAAAAAAAGGTCCTCTAGAAAAAAGTGGGGGTTTCGACGTGCCCCTGGCTCCCTCAGTGTCGTTGGCCTTGAGTTATAGAGAAAGAAAGCGATAGAAGACTTAAAAATCTGTATATTGTATTAGTCAAGAAAACATGAAGATGCGAGAGAATTTCAAAACACCGATGTTCTCAACTAGTTTACAAAAGAACAATCAATCACATACTACTTTCAAATATAACACTCAGTTTGCAAATTCGACAATTAAATTAACTAGTTAAAAAATGTCTGCAGCTTGCGTAATGACGCAAATAAACCCGTTGATAATAAATATATATGTGTTACTTATGATTAATTTTATCTTCGACAAGCAGAATCATTTTTCTTCGTAACAAAACCATTTTAAAATAGTTTTATTCTTTATAGAATGGAAATAATCAGTCTTAAGATACAGCTTGATTGATTCCTTTTTAATTCATTTTGTTTTATTTAGTAAAAGACTCGGTAATTTAAGTGGAATCAACTTTATTAGGTCCGTAGAATAGTTAAGTTTATTTATAAACAAAAGACGGTTATTTATAAACAAAGTCGGTTATATATAAACCATTTATTAACTTTAATATTTATTTACT